TTGTTTATTTTTTCTTTTTTAAATTTGACTTCAAGTTCTGGGATACATGTGCAGAATGTGCAGGTTTGTTACATAAGTATACATTTGCCATAGTGGTTTGCTGCACTTATTTATTTTTTTAAGATAGTAAGGCTGACTTTAATGGAGGAGGCATGGCAGCAGGTAAAGGAACCACTACAATGGGGTCTTGTAGTGTGGGAGAGAGCTTGGACTCAACTCCTTTAAAGAGATTTTGGATGAAGAAACTATGGCTCAGAGTGATCCTTAGATTTGTATAAGTTTGCATGAGTAATAGTCATGGAATTGCAATAAAAAGCTCTGTAAGTCCATGTCTAATTCTCCCTGCCTCATAGGATGCAGCCCTTCTAACTTCATTACATTCTAATCTTGAAGTGTAGACTATCTCTCAGGGTTGGTGAAATCAAAAAGGGTAAGCATGCCAGGATCCTTCTAGAATTCAAAACTTGGATTCGTACCTGGGATTCAATGTAGTACCATTTTCAAATATATCTCCAACTAGAATTATAGCTTCATTTGTTTATTCCTGGCAACAATTTCTTTGGTTGGTGACTAAAGCAAATTTCTCTGAAAAGCCCAAATCCACCATATACCAGGTCATTAGTTTTGAATATATGTAATTTTTTTCAAACACAATGGCTTTCTCAAGAGATCTGGATTGATTGAAGGTGGTAGACTGGGTTGTATGTTTCCTGTGAGACAACATTAGAGATAATACTGAAATATTAACTATGCAGTTGTAGAGGTAATTAACATGAAATTAAAATACTTTGCAAACAGTTTACAGATGATTAAAAAAAAGGACATTTTGTGCGCATCTGGGTAATTATTATATTACTCTCTTATTTATAAATGGTTTTGCAAATAGATTATTTTTAAGAAGTTAACAAAGCACTGTGAGTATATGTGCCAAATTGAATAGAACAAAATTTTTACGATGTTCCCCCACCTCAGTTCTGCTCCATATAGGCAATTTTAAGGTCTTTTGTAAGTTGAAAATATAAATTGCCTTCATCACTGCTTCTGTGGGTTCTTCACATCTTTCACTCCAATGATGTCCAACTTATACTGCAAGATGGTTAATAGCTACATTCTATTTTCCAAAAACAAAGGAAAAAATATCTACCATGTGGCCAGTGTAAGACTCTAGATTCTGCTATCCAGTTGGCATGAAGCCATCTGCCCTGTGGGTATAATTGCAATAATCTACATTTCTCACATTGTTAGAGTTTGAGGTATGTGAAAAAGGTAAATTTTATGGCTGAGAAAATTGGATAGGGTTGACATATGTAACTTACATCTAGGGCTGGCACTACACATTTATTTTTTAATGCTAGAAAAAGATGTAGTATATAATAATATGTATCAACTGCTTGGGTGATTTTGACTGAATTAATTATTGTAAGCAATTACTGGTAAGTTTTATTAAATGCCCATGTTAAACTTTACCTGCACATTTTAGTAAACTAAAAGACCAACTTGACGAATATATTAATTGTTCATTTGAGAACAGCGTATTTCCATATAGCTAGGTGATACAAATGTTAAGAAAACTGCCTGCAGTTAATTCTTCAAACTCTAAGTGGAAATAACTGCTGCATGGGCATAAAATGACATGAAAGCTTAATGAGTTGTTCACTTGATATTTTTAACACTTTCAATCCTTACCTGGAATTTGTCTTGCCACTCTGAGCAGGTGAGTCCAAATTAAAATCACAAGTGCCTTTATTTGTCCATGAAAACAGCCTCTTCAGTTGGTGACTGTCACAACATTCATAGTCCATTTGGAACCCAAATTCATCATCCATCAATATTTAGTTTCTTCTGGGGTTTGAATAGACAGGACTTTGACAAAGTTACTCACTAGAGATCCATCACTTACTCTGTCAGAAAATACCAAAGATTCATGGAGACTGGACTGGGTGGATGTTTTCTCATGAGATGATACTGGATGTGAAATGACAAATTAAGTGATAGCCAAAGTGAGCTAGCATATACTTTCTCAAAGTAACCAAAACTGGGCCAAAACCTTTACTGGTTGGTTTCCTCATCATTCTTCTTTTACTATTTGCTCCCTGCCTTTTTCCCACTCTCATTAAGTTTGTATCTTCTAGATTACAATGATTTCATCTACAGATGACTACGCAATACCATCCTGCAACAGCAACTTCCATTTACATGGGGCCTCTTGATGGAATCTGGTCCCCTGCCCTGGCCCATAAACAAGTTTTTCATGACCCTTCATTTCCTTCATGACAGACTGGATGCTCCCCTTCACTGTGCTGTTTTCCCTTTCTAGAGACCCTAATAGGTAGCAGGTGGACACAAGCATGGGGGTAAACAAACAAACAAAAAATGGTCAAAGATTTGACCAAGATATTTATTAAGGGAAAATGAGGAGAGCAAAGACCATCAAGCAGACCATCCAGAGGCAAAACTCCTAAAGCTGGCATCTGGTTCCTGGCTTCTTTCCCAAAAGATTATAGGTAACAAATATTTCCATACAAACATCTCTGAATGCACACACATCAAAATTCATTGTGCAACCCTTGCTGACATCAAGGCACCACAATGTCTACAAATGTAATTATTTGTGACCTAGGTGGCTAATATGGGCCAAGTTACCCTTAAGCTCCCTCTTCAAGGTCCATAAATGCTCCTAAGGAAAAATCCACTGTGGCACGCTGAGTTCTCTTTTGCTGAAGTACCCTGCTGCAATCTGCTGCAGTGTTCTATCTAATACAACTTACCCTTTCAAACCTATACTGGCTTGGGTAAATTCTTCTTTCTACCCCCAAGCTCACCTTCCATTGCCAGGGCCCTGACACCTTGAGACAAATAAAAAAAGTTTTATCAAAAAAAGCTTGTGAATCAATCACAGCATTATGCAAATTGGCCATAAAAGCTGCAAGAAAAATGTGAAGATTGCTTTTTCGATATTGTTCAATTTAGTTGATTTTCAATCCATGCAATACTCCTTTGAATTCAGTGATAATAATACCAAGTTAACACCGCAGTTAGTGAGTTTACTTACTTAACCTGGATGAAACTAGTTTTGAATCTTCTATGCTTTTACTTCAAAGTTAGATCAATTCTTTAAGATGATAAACAAATTTTGCCAATATAAATGTCCATAGTAAAGAAAAATTTTTTTGTGTGGGGGGGTAATTGATTCAACTATTGCAACATTCTAAAGTATATTTGGAATAACTTGGATATGTGACACATTTTCAACCGTAAACTTGATGAAATCCAGTAAATTGAAAAGCTAGTCTCCTGATTGACATGTATGTGTAAAATACACACTAAATTTCAAAACTTAGTGCAATAAAAGAATGTATAACCCCTCGAATTTTTGTTTTTTGTGATGGTCTCATTCTGTCACCCAGGTTGGAGTGCAGTGGTGCAATCTCAGCTCACTGCAACCTCCACCTCCAGGGTTCAAGCAATTCTTGTGCCTCAGTCTCCCAAGAAGCTGGAATTACAGGAATGCGCCACCACGCCCAGCTAATTTTTGTATTTTTAGTAGAGATGGGGTTTTGCCATGTTGTCTAGGCTCGTCTCAAACTCCTAGCCTCAAGTGATCCTCCTTTGTCTCCCAAAGTGCTGGGATTACAGGGATGAGCCAGCGTGCCTTTACCTTAACAATTTTTTTTTATTGGTTTGGTGTTGAAATGGTATTTGGGACATATTGAGTCAAATAAAATATATTTTTAAAATTAATTTTACCAATTTTTTTTGTTTTTAAAATGGGTACTAGAAAGTTTTCAATTACACATGTGGTTTACATAACAGCACTATAGTTTATTGAGCAGCTGTTTTAGATTAGTTCATTGTTAGCGCCACACAAAACAGGAACTCTTTTGAAAAGACAATTGGCTAATTTAAGTTGATTCCTTTGAAAATCCAATTTTCTCCTGTTACAAAGAGGAGCTAATTAAATGAATAAAGCTGATTTCAAACTGAGGCTCCTTTATTTATTAGTTATGTATTTTGTCATTTATTAACATCTTCAGTATAAATGAGGGCAATAAGTTTATTTCGTAGGAATGTTTTTGAGGATCAATCTAAGTAAAGCAGATAGATAATGTACTTAGCACAGTGGGTACATAGCCCTACATCTGTGGCGAATGATTAAAACTGGAAATCAGTGCTGGGCATGGTGGCTCATGCCTGTAATCCCACTGCTTTTGGAGGTCAGGGCAGGAAGATAGCTAGAGCAGGAGTTCAAGGCTGCAGTGAGCTATGATCATGCCATTGCATTCCAGCCTAGGTGTCAGAATGAGACTTCAAATCTAAAAAAAATTAAAATAAAAATTAAACTGTAAATCAGTGAGGAACTAAACTAAAAAGTGATCCCAGCTACTCAGGAGGCTGAGGCAGGAGAATTGCCTGAGCCCAGGAGGCGGAGGTTGCGGTGAGCCGAGATCGCGCCATTGCACTCCAGCCTGGGTAACAAGGGCGAAACTCCGTCTCAAAAAATAAATAAATAAATAAATAAATAAATAAATAAAAAGTGATCAAAAAAAGAAAAAGGAATGGATTCTTAGAAAGTTCAAATGGAGACTAGATGTCAGGGTGGACAGCAGAGGGCAACAGAGGGAGGGATAAGAATGGGAAAAGTCACAAGTTTCTGCCTTCCAGGTAACAAAAGAGGAAGATTAAATCTGTGAGAAAAGTATTAATTCAATTTTAAACACTGTTGAGCAATAGGTGACTGTGGAAATTTTAGAGGAGATATTAGGTAGGAAATCCAAGTTTGGCGCTAAGGAGATTGGTCTGAATTGTCAACAGAGACTTGGAGTCCATAGGTAAGATGTGGAGCTGTAGAAAGGTGTAAGATTACCCAGGGAATATGTTAAGAAGCCATATAATAAAGGGAGGCAGAGCCTCTAATCCTAGAACCTCGGTAGGCCAAGGGGGGCAGATCACCTGAGGTCAGGAGTTCAAGACCAGCCTGGCCAACATGATGAAATCCCGTCTCTACTAAAAATATATATACATACCCCCAGGCTGTTCTGAACAGGGCCTTTAGTCGGAAGCCAGGGCTTATCTCCCGGCTGCTACAGGGTCACTTGTGATGGGCACAACACTGCAAGAAGCGGAGGACTCCCGACAACTTGGCGACCTGCAGGTAGAGACCTGGCTTTTCTCGCCGGCGTGACCCCCACTGCCTGCCGACTGCACGCCCGCCTCCAGGTAGCGGAGCAGGATCCCACCCGCTCGGCGTGGGCAACTTGACGCAGTTGGCTACGGGAACAGCAGGACGCCGCGAGCTTTGCCCGACCACCTAGCTCTCAGCATCTGAGCTTGGTCAACTCTCAGAACTTCAGCGATGAAGTTAAATAGTAGCTAGTAAGACCACAACGCGCCGCACTAGTGCTGCACTGAACGCTTTTCGGGGTTGGCGGTAGAGGCATGCTCCTACGGGGTGCTGTGACCTCCCATTTCCTGCGGTCCAGCAGGCCCTGCACCCACAAGATCCGCCCTCTGACGCGTCACGCTCATGCCAAAGGCCGGCGGGAAGTCACCTAAGCCCCGGTGCACAGGGAAGCCATTCCATACGTGCTAATGGCCCAACGATACGGCCGCTTAGAAGCCCGAGGCCAGTTTTAACACTTAGGCTTTGTAGAAACGCTTCTGAACAGAGTCCGCAGTCTGTATTTCAGGTGCACTGCAGTGGGAGGTCACTCCCGCGTTGCGCGGCACCTCCCAGGGTCGTTCCTAAGCGCGCGCCGAGTCCCCTCCCTGAGGTCTAGCCCTCCGCTCGCCCGCCAAGGCTGATCCCCAGCAGCCGCTCCGGCCGGCCATATCCCACGCCCGGTATCCGGAACGCGGCATCTAAAGGGCTGGTATTTACCCAGTATCTGGAAGTGTTCACAGCTCTTTCTGTGACAGTTTGGGGGCCCTGAAAAGGGCCTTTGGAATCTAGAGAGGAGCGGTGGGGTCAGCTCAGCCGCCGAAGCCGTAAAGGGTGCGGCCCTGGCGTTTCAGCGCGTACACCACATCCATGGCCGTGACCGTCTTGCGCTTGGCGTGCTCCGTGTAGGTCACTGCGTCGCGGATCACATTCTCCAGGAAGACTTTGAGGACGCCGCGGGTCTCTTCGTAGATGAGACCAGAGATGCGCTTGACGCCCCCACGTCGGGCGAGGCGGCGAATCGCGGGCTTCGTAATGCCTTGGATGTTGTCCCTCAGCACCTTCCGGTGGCGCTTGGCGCCTCCCTTACCCAGCCCCTTGCCGCCTTTGCCTCGGCCAGACATTCTGAAGTCACAGCTCCGTCTCGGGAGGAAAGCGGGCTGCTCACTGCGACGGCCGGTCACCGACCAGGGCTTATACTGCCTCGGTGCGGACCTGTTTGAAAACTTCAAAAAAGTGGGCGGAGCTCTAGGCCCCACCTCTGGAGACTTGCTGTAGTTACAAGTCCAGGAAGCCGTCAGTGAAACCGGCCTCATTTGTTGTTTGCTCTTTTGGGAAAACGTTTTCTGATATTTTTGCCATAAATTTGGAGAAGGATTCATTGTGACACATTTTCAAGTTAAAACAGTATGAGTTAATAAAATTTATATTGCCTTTTCTCAGCCCTTAAATAAAAGCAGGCCAGATCCTTTGCACGTTCTTTGTCTTCTCCTTACCTCCCTCCGACTGTATTTTTTCAAACGGAATTCCTGACTTACTATGAAACTCAATAGAAACCTGAAATGCTTTACATAGGAGATTTCAAAGCAATTCCCTACGATTTTTCACACGTGGGTCTTTCTTTTAGACATTGTAGGAGGATATGACTCTGTTACCTATCTATCTTCTATCTATCTATCTATCTCTCTCTCTCTCTCTCTCTCTCTCTCTCTCTCTATTTTGTGGCCTTGGAGAGAATTAAAATACTTTGAATTGAAATAAAAAAGTCTAGCTTCCGGTCTCCCACCTCCACTTCACCCCCACTTCACCCTCACTCCTCCTCCCACCCCTACCATTCCCCTTTCAGCTGTTTCTGTGAAATTTGCAGGTTTTCCTGCCCTGCAAAAGCCTGCGTGCTTTTCAACCAAGTAACTGTTCCTATAGTTATTTAGCTGAAATACTGCAAATGTCTTATGTCATTCAAATCTCAGATTCTCATCTCACATTTTCTACTCAAAAATTCAAAGTTCTTATAAAATAATGAATGCCACAATCACGGCTTTGAATAATGATTTCTACTGCAAATCCCCTCTGGAGGTTCTGAAGCCCTTCCTTTCTCAAGAGAATCTGAACAAAAACGAAAGTTTCTGTAAGGTGTCACCGCTCCTGGAAGGTGTCAGGGCCCTGTCTTCCCTAAAGGTTTAACTGCAGCTATTATTTAGAGGATGATTCATAAGTCTTATTAGGATTCTGAACAATGAATTTTAATAAGTGGGGCTCTTTGTTCCTGGGTCTTGAAGATAAGCCTTTACAGAAGGAAGGTTTCATGGTAAAATTATATTTCTAAATGCTTACAGTTTACACTTGTTTCAATCCTTGCCCATCTTTGTAACCCAAAAGGCATTTCTTTTTCTTTTACTCCATGATTTTAATACTTAACTCAGAGGAAAGAGGAAAAGTCTATCAGATCTTGAAGAGATAATTATTGTAATGGCAAAAGAGGTTGACTTATTTATACTTACTTTCTAAGAAATCAAGGCTAGAACATTTTCAAATGAGAAATCTCTTGCTTATAAGAATAAAAGAAAAAAAACCGTGTCCAAAATAGTAATACTTTCAAAAACTCTTGAAAAATTCCCTATGGTAGAGGCAAAAATTTAAACTAGTTTACAGAACTCGTTTCAGGAACACCTCATTAAAAACTGCATCAGAGATTTGTATGCCCATTTATTTGGTATATCTAAGAGTTACTGGATACTTACTAACATATTTAATTTTCAAAACACTTTGATATAGGTACAGGAGTCAAATAACTTATCGAAGGTCACTGCTCAGTGGTAAAACCAGGATTTAGGCTGGTGAAGTCTGGCTCAAGAAAGACTGTCTAAACTATGACAATAGCTCTGAAGACACTTACTGAGTTATGGATTAATCATTGTTCTAGGCAGTAATAACATATACATAAATACTTGGAAATGTTATTTCAATGAAGTAAAATCTTTATTCGGATTGTGAGAAGGTAAATTTGTTTTACTTTATATTTAAATGGAACCAAATAAAATGTTGTTTATTTAAGCAAGTGTTCAACATCACATCACCTATCGGTGTTAACTGTGTAACTGTGAAAATGTTCAGGTAAAAATGAAATGACCTGGGTGAATTAGTAGAAAGTAATTTCTAAATAAAACAAAAAATAAAAAAAAGTTCTCTTTTTTCTGTTTCAAAAATCATGGTTAGCATAAGAATAAGCTGCCATACTTTAGTCCCTGGGCTCATTTACAAACAGACCCCGGCGGCCTCCAAGTCTTCGCAGAGGCCGCTTATCCACTGATCCGGGGCGCCCTGACTTGCGGGGAACAAGCAGAGGCCAAGACTTTGGCCTCCAATAAAACCTAGTGGCTCTTTGCAGGCCCATAGCCTCAAAGACAAAAGAAATTTTGGCTAGGCGAGTTTGTTCACGTCAGTACAGAAGTACTCACGTCTGGTCATCACTCTGTCTTCAATGCCTTACAAGCGAAAGATTGGCTGGCTGTGGGCGGCAGGATCTTTCTGGGAGACCAGTGTGGTCTCCACACTGTTGGGTAGCTGGAGGCAAGGCGCTTGTATACCCCCACAGGCCAGGCGCAGTGGCTAACGCCTGTAATATCAGCACTTTGGGAGGCCGAGGCAGGTGAATCACCTGAGGTCAGGAGTTCGAGCCCAGCGTGGCCAACATGGCGAAATCCCGTCTGAACTAAAAAATACAAAAATAACCGGGCGTGGTGGCGAGCGCCTGTAATCTCAGCTATTACAGAGGCTGAGGCAGGAGAATCGCTTGAACTCGGGAGGTAGAGGTTGCAGTGAGCCGAGATCAGCCACTGCACTCCAGCCTGGGCGACAGAGCACGACTCTGTTTAAAAAAAAAAAAAAAAAAAGACAACGAAGAAAGAAAGAAAGAGCCCATGGACCCTGTCCTAGGCAGGCAGAATTCCGCGGAGAGGAGAGGTTGATGTTTCGCCTAAGCAGCGGCGGGCTGCAGACAGAAACCTACCTGACTAACATGCTGTGTTATATGAGAACGTCCATTTAGCATAGCAGCGTCTTGTTCTGGATTTTTTTTTCTGTTCCTAACCATGTTTCCTTATTTCCTAGTAATTTATTTGCTTGGGGGTGGGCGTAGTCGTGGAAACCCCGTAACCACTAAATTCATCTGGGTTACCAGACGCAGAGCGGGCTGGCCAAGATATATATGTGAACGGCTATGTAAATGAGGATTCGGAGATTGCTCTATTGATTGGAGAGAGCTGGAGGAGGCCGTCTCTCTCCTAGAGCGCTAATTGGGAGAGGTGCCTGCCTGTCATTGGTCACCAGAGCCAATGAGAAGGGGCTGTCGCGCGGCAGCAGAGTTTGTGAAGGCAGTGTGGGTGGAGTACGTTGCATTCCCGTACCGGACGCCGTGAGCGGTTTGTCTACCTGTCTGGAGTTGTAGGCGAGAGGTGATCATGTCCGGTCGCGGAAAACAGGGCGGCAAAGTGCGAGCAAAGGCCAAATCCCGCTCGTCTCGCGCGGGCCTGCAGTTCCCGGTGGGCCGAGTGCACAGACTACTGCGCAAAGGGAACTACGCGGAGCGAGTGGGCGCCGGGGCACCGGTGTACCTGGCGGCGGTGCTGGAGTACCTGACGGCGGAGATCCTGGAGCTGGCCGGCAACGCCGCGCGTGACAACAAGAAGACCAGGATAATTCCCCGCCACTTGCAGCTCGCCATCCGCAACGACGAGGAGTTAAACAAGCTGCTGGGCAAGGTGACCATCGCTCAGGGAGGCGTCCTGCCCAACATCCAGGCGGTGCTGCTGCCCAAGAAGACGGAGAGTCAGAAGGCGAAGAGCAAGTGACCGTGACGCCGCCCCCGGGGAGCTGGCTCCCCCAGCAAGGGCCCTTTTCATGGCCGTCCCGCAATGCTTTTGAATATGCTGGATGTCATGGAGGGCCGGTGACATCTAGTGGGGAGGAGGGCGGCGAGGGACCCTACGGGAGCCAATAAAGTTGGTGAAAATCGTTTGGTCGAGAAAGCTGTGTAGTCTCGGGGACCTGCTGGATGGCCCCGGGGGGGCGACCGGGAAACCCTTGGAGCAGGTACTGGTGGTTGGGCTCTAGCCCCTCTGGACTGCTTTAGTCCGCAGGTCACCCTTGAGGCATTAGGGGAGGGTGGCCTGGAGGTGGGCAGGGTGGGAGCGCACCTCGCTCTCAGTGGGGCAAAGGGGAGGCAGAGTCCGTGCGGCGAGGCCTCCGACGGAATTATTTTTACTTCCCCTTCCCGGAATCTTGGCTCTCCTGCTTGTTTGGGGGCGCTGAGGACAAAGTCTGGGAAGAAAACCGTCGGGTCGAGCTGGACTTGGGGCAGGAAGTGTCCCCGGCCATATTTTTTCAAAAAGTGGAGTAACTTTCCGTCTTGGAAAGTGGCTCTGATGGCACGATATCAAGCCTAAGATACTAACAGGCTCTTCTTAGCCTATTAGCTGCTGTGCTTTCCTGCTTTGGATACTAGGTATCTTTATGTAGCACCCTTATGTTCGTATTTTTTTTAATGAAGGAAAGATTCCATAATATGGGTAATACAGAAGCATGAGTTATGAGGTTGGAAATTCGTTCCCCTGACAGTCATGTTGCATAACATTGCAGCGCCTTTAGTCGTGAGTTACATATGCTTAAACTTTTAAAGTGATGTTCTCACGTTTCTAGCTTCATAATTATCTCGTCTTCATCATATTCTCTTTGAGACTCTTGACTTTGCTTTAAAACTAAACAAAAACCTCTTGCTTTTAGAGGTTCTTACCCAACAAATAACCTGTTTGAAATCCCTTACATTACATTCTCCCACTATGACCTCATTCCAGTAATATCTTTGGGAGTTGCATTGCCTAATGGCACAATATTGCTTTAATAAATATGTGATGAAAGACAGGGCCAAATATTTAAGTGTGGGGAGAAACACATTTCAGAGCAGGAATCCACATTTGAAAGTTAACGCTAGTAATCGTCTTCTGCCCTTAGCTGACACCCCCATTTATTTCATCCTTCTCAGCAAATTTCATCTTGGCCCAGAGGCCCCACAAAAGATCCCAGTACAGATTTCACAACTTTGGATTCATCTTTCCTCTGAGTCAGAATTGAAGTCTTCCCCAAAAATATATGTATGTATTGTATGTCTTCATCCCTAGTAGCAGCTGGCCCATTT